TGAGAAGGTGCCACTGAAAACAGAACTGCAACTGACTGGAAGTGAATGGGACAGAAATCAGGAATTCTGAAACTTTTATTTACTATCAAATCCATCCCTTGGCAGACAGCCCCACACAATCCCAATCCCACCACTCCAAATTTGGATCCCACTTCTCCCAGTCTCCTTCCAACCCCTTCTCACCCTGCCGGCTGTGGAATCCAGTAAGGTTTGCGTGGGACTGAGTTGTTTTGAGGAGGGAACAAGGCACCTGGAAGTGGAATCGAGCCCTTCTGAATTAAAATTGAGGTGTTTTCAGTGGGATTTGAGTGGTTTAGAGGTGACAGATTGATCCCTCTTGGCTTTTGGAGTGCAAACAGATGTAGAAGAGATAAAAATTAAGGCCAAAGCAAAAGGATAACCAGCCAGGTGTCTTCCCAACATGGATCCCAGGGAAGGTGGGTCACCAGGGCTCTGCCCAACGTGGGTCCTGCAGTGGGGGATGGAGTTGGAGCAGCAGACAAAGCTCTTCCCACACTTGGGGGACTTGCAGGGCTTCCCTTAACGGTGTCTCCGTTGATGTTTGGTCAAGGCTGAGCTCCTGGGGAAGCTCTTCCCACACTCCTCACACTTGTAGGGCCTCTCCCCAGTGTGGATGCGCCGGTGTCTGGTGAGGTGGGAGTTTCGCCTGAAGCCCTTCCCACAGTCAGAGCACTGGAAAGGCCTCTCCTCCGTGTGTGTCTGGTAGTGCTGGAGGAGATAGCAGCTGATGCGAAACCTCTTCCCACACTTAGAACACTCGTAGGGCCTCTCCCCAGTGTGGATACTTTGGTGGTGGACTAGCTCGTACCGGCGCCTGAAGTCCTTCCCACACTCCTCACACTTGTATGGCCTTTCCCCGGTGTGGATGCTCTGGTGGCGGATCAATTGAGCACGCTCAATGAAACTATTTCCACACTCCTCACACTGGAAAGGCCTCTCCCCAGTGTGGGTCCTCAGGTGGTGGAGCAGGGTGGAGCTGTGGCTGAAGGTCATCCCACACTCCTCACACTTGTACGGCCTCTCCCCAGTGTGGGTCCTCTGGTGGCAGATCAGATGGGAGCTCTGTCTGAAGCTCATCCCACATTCCTCACAATTGTGGGGTATCTCTCCAGTGTGGATGCCCTGGTGCCTGATAAGACTGGCGTTTCGCCTGAAACCCTTCCCGCAGTCGGGGCAGCGGAAGGGCCTCTCATCTGTGTGAATCCGCTGGTGCACAAGGAGATGGGAGCTGGAGTAAAACCTCTTCCCACACACGAGACACTCGTATGGTCGATCCCCAGTGTGGATCTGCTGGTGGACCTTTACATGGGCACTGGTCTTAAACTTCTTCCCACACACCTCACACTTGTAGGGCCGTTCCCCAGTGTGGATCCTCTGGTGCTGGATCAGGTTGGAGCGCTCTCTGAATCCCTTCCCACACTCCCCACACTCGTAGGGCCTCTCCCCAGTGTGGATCCTCTGGTGGCAGATCAGGCTGTATCTCCTTCTGAAGCTCATCCCACACTCTGAGCACTTGTGGGGCTTCTCCCCAT